GGAGTCAATTTTGTCCCATATGTTGAAATGCCAATTTTGTGCAAATCTATCTAAACAGAGTTGGTATACTAATTTCCCACATCTTGCACTTTTACTGTCGCTCCAAATTCTGTTTATTGATGGTGTACCAACATTTTTCCTCAGAGCCTGACATTTAAAGAGAAAATGCCATACCTTAAGTTTAAAGAGAAACCAACTGATGTGGAAACTAGGAGTTACAAGTATTTGCTACTGTCTTTGGTCAAGCTCATGCATGGAGACCCAAAGCTGCTATTATATGTAAGTAGATATATTATGATTGTTAGCAGTTCTGCTTAATATTAAATTGAATCTGTAGCCAAAAGTGTTCCATTTTGTTTGTAGATTAGGGAAGGGGCAAAACCTCTGTCTGTTTTTTGTTTGTTTTTTTGTTATAGTTATATCATTCTATAATTGTATATATTATATAATATATTTTTGTTTCTCAGTATTTATCCTCCAGTTCTCACAGAAAGTAATGGGAAACAGTTGAAGGGAAATCTTCTAGTAGGGACCTGTTCTGGTGCAAATGTCTCTCTAAAAACTCACTATATACAGTACACCAAAATCTATTCTATCAACTTTAGATTTACCAAAACAATGTAATATTAACGCCCACCTGAACTATTCAATTTGTGTCCAATCCATTAGGTCCTTGCACTACATAAGTGTTGGTAGAGCTAAAGGAGATTGTATGTCAGATTTTAAAGTGTGTGTGGTGAGCGCAAGAGGGGGACTCTCTCTCCAACAGGACACAGCAAAAAAAAAAATCCAGAGGTCCTAACCATTTTCCAATATATAAAAAAATTAGGGCTGCGGAAATTAACGATTAATCCCTCGATTAATCGTAGATTTTTTTTGATCGAACAAAATTATTTTGATCGATCAAAGTTCTTTGGATGCGTACTCACCTCTCCGCCGCCTTCCGGGTCTTCCGTCGGAGATCCGGTGACGTCACAGACATCGACGTCCCTTGGATTAGTGTGATCCTAGTTCATTTTATTACTTCATTGCTGCGCTGTATGTGTATAGGCCAATGTAGTTGGATCTGTATGTGCGTTATAATCGAAATTAATCGATTTAAAAAAAATTTCGATTAATCGAACAGGAAATTTTTAATCATTACCAGCCCTACAAAAAATATATATGGGGAAAAAACAGATTCCCTTAAATCATCCTTTACTTCATTATGCATACATACTGTGCATACTTGGGTTTTGCACAATGCATTTACTTTCATTATTTGTACAGTATGGTAAAATGGGTATTTTTTTTAAAGTTTATATACTTAAAGTAAACCAGTGGATTTATAAAGATCTCAAACTGCCATATATTTTTGCTAGCAGGTGCTTGCAGGCCAGTTCGGACTTCATGTACAACATCACTTGATCCCCTATCAGATATTTATATAGCGACCAGTTTGTGCCATTCGTGGCTCTAGGTAACGGATACTGTGTCCTTCTATTGCTTAGTGAGGCCGCCTTTCACAGCGGTTAGCCAATAGTGTGGTGCAAGAGGATGGGCACAGCAGGCAAACACAGAAGTTGGTTGCTGTTCACATATCAAAGCACCCCAGTTTTCTGGGGTCTTGGCATGTTTTTTTCAGTTGTCCGATGCCATGTGTGAGATCAAATTACAGTAAATGTTGGACCCTAGGATAAGGACATTGTGTCCATTGTCCTTTTAAAAATAAAGTGTAAGATACTTTATATTTACAAACTCTTATCAGAGTATAAATGATGAGCAGTCTTGCTTCATTGTCTTGAACACAGGGTATTGCTCCCCAAAGATCTTCTGCCAGGATTGATTGACATATTCCATTTCTATTTCCATGTAGTTGCCTACTTTAGGATACTGCATGGGACAAATAGTGGAACATCTGGATAGTGCGGAAAACTTTATCTCCTAAATGTTTACATGGGTATTATCTCAAGGTGCAAGGTGTTAAAAAAAAATTGAAGTATTACTATTACCAAGATAGACTTGACCTTTCATTTTCACACCTGCTTTTCAGACATTTGCATTGACAACACAAAAGGCTGGCACGTGGGTTTTATTTTATTAAAAACAGCTTTGGCATGTTAGATACCACGTCTCATGTTTTTTGTTTTTATTTCCCCTTTAACCACATTTTAACTTTTGTTAAATATTTTTCTTTCTTGTGCATTGATTGAAACCGTAAATCATATACTGTGGGGCTATACTGCTGCCTGCAGGAGGATAGGACAATAGATAACCAAAAATCTGTGGGCCAGCCTGGTATAACTCTTACTATTCTAATTTACGAGTGTGCTAGGAGGATGGACGTCTACTCTTTTCTTCAGTTCTGCTGGGTCTAACTATTTTTTTGGTATCTTTTTTTTTGTTTTTTTTCTCCAATCAAGATTCTTTGCTACATCGCTGCCTAGACTGACCTCCACAATGGCAGCTATCTGGATTAGCCTTTCCTCAGCCTAACTTGGGAGTGCTGTCACCAGACCCCGCTGGGCTGGATTTTGCAGGGCTAGACTTTTTTCTACAGCTCTGCTGTGTTAAGACTATTATTTTACTAGCATTTTTTTTCTATGTCTGTTTGCAGCTTTTCAGAGTGGTCTGCCTTAGCCTGGCTTTTCAAGTACCTGTAGAAATGTTTGCTGAAGCCAACTTATCCTTTAGTGTATCTGGGTCTAGTCCTTGATACAACTCCGGCCCAAGTGTTCCTTCCACAGGAGAAACTTCTGTCACTTCAGTCTCAGAATTGAACTCTGCAGTCCAGGAGCTGTCCGACTCTCTGCTTTTGCATGAGAGTCTTAGGCCTGTTGGTTTCAAGGCAGTCCCATTTGTCCAGTTTCACATCAGTTAATCTAGTCTTTGGACAGACTGATTCATTTGTCACCGAAGACCATGTTGTCCCTGAAGCCTTGCTATCTTTTGGAGGCTCCTCATGACAAACTCCAGTCTTTCAGTCTGGGAAGGAGTTCTGGGTACCCTTTTGGTGCAGGGCACTTAAAACGTTGGTGGCGTTTTGTCTCCTAATCAGTATCCTGCAACGTCGGGCAATTTCGCCATTTGTACAACGTTGAACCATCTTAGTGGAGGGCCTTTCGGTCCAGATTCAGTTGGGCAACACCATGGCAGTGGCATACATCAGTCATCCGAGAGGAACAAGAAGTCTCACCGAGGCAAAAGAGGTAGAGCAGATCTTGCCCTGGACAGAACATCTCAATCTGGCATTGTCAGCTGTGCACATTTAAGGCCTGGAGAGTTGGCAACCAGGCTTCCTCACCTAGCAATGTCTGAACCTGGGGCATCTCCAGGTTTGTCAACTACCTGGGCAGGTTTGTCTCCAGGCACAGCAATCCTCTAGCGGAATCAGTTGTGGTAAGCTGACCTGGTAAGACTCCTGCAGATGCTCTGTGGGCTCTTCCAGATCAGCAGGATATTCTTTCTCAAAGACAAATTTGCCATCCTGCTTCACGGTCCCAGTTCTGAGGGACAGGGACGTCTCTAAATCTGTTATTCCTACAATGCACTAGCTTCATCATTCAAGCTTATGGTCTCCATAATCGGGTTCTGCACTTTCCTGGCATGGCTTGTGTTTCTTGGGCTTTTCAGCATCAAGCAACTGTATCCCAGATTTTTAAGGGAGCCACCTAGTCTTCTGTTCACACGTCCTCCAAGTTCTACCAGTTGAATGCTGAAGCATAATCTGCTTTGGCCATAATGTCCTTCAGGTGGTGCTTTTAGCTGCAGGCGGTCCCCAGTTTTCTGTTTTTCAGTGGGCCTGTTAGCGTGCATTTGCTGTGTAGCCCACCCCTCACTTTGCTTTTGGATGTCCCAAAGGTTAAAGACTTCCTGTGTCTCCTCAATGCACGAGAAAGAAAATAGGATTTATTTATTTTTGCTCACCATAAAATGCTTTTCTTGGAGTCCTTTTGAGGGACACAGGTTCTACCCCTCTGTTTTATAATCATGCTCTGGCTTTGCTACAAAACCGAGACATGCTGGTAGTGGAAGGTGTTATCTTGGGCTGGGCTAGAGTTGTTTTTTTTGTTAGCCAATGTGCAATCCTCCTGTAGGCAACAGCATAATGACTTCCCCCAAGAAAATGTGTTAGGGTGCTGAAATACTTTATTTACTATATAAATGATTGATACTAATAAGCTCTTGTTTGAAGAAAAACTTCCTGCACTTCTCAATATACAGCTTATTAGACGCTATGTGTTAAATTGTCAGTAACTAATCATGTTTTTGTCTTGCTATATTCCAGAACCCAGGAAAACCCGGCCCTGACACACAGAACAGCACTGCAGAGCTAATTAATGGATTGGTGCAGCTGGTCCCACAGACAAACATGCCAGAGATAGGCCAGGAAGCCATGGAGGTGAGAGATTTGGTGTCAGTAGCGGAGTACCTGAGTGACATTCAATCATGTTATTGTGAAATTACAATGACTTTGTAAAGTTTTTGATGGGTATCGATTAGAATCTATATATTTTGCATGCTTTCATTTTTAAATCTTTGTACCTATAAAATCACACTTCCCCACTGTCTAAACCAAAAATGTTTTGCTGTATTTAGGCTTTAAGCCCTATTACCTCAAAACTAGTGTGCAGCTTAGACATTGTAGAATGAGAGATTCCCTTTGGAGTATCTTGTGCTGATATTTTGTTTTCTGACAGATGTGCTCATATATGTACTTTTATTTCAATCTCCCTCTATTTAAGTTGCACACAAATGCTGTGAAAGATGGAGCAGCGGAAGATAGATACTGAAACTGAACCTTGTAATCATAAAGGCTTTAGTGTTTTTTGGAAGTATTAAATTTAGGACCTCAGGGGTGTGGACATTTTGGAAAAAACTACTTGTCCAAGGACTAAAGCTGGGGCCGAATCTACTTGTCCCTCTTGACAAACTACTTGTCCTGATACAAAAAAATAATTTTAACCAAAACCGTATTTAGCAGTGCTAAGAAGCGCTTCTCATTGGTCAATGCCATCAGGTGGCCGCGTTGACCAACGAGTGCTTGCAATTTGCGAGCGAAATTCAGAATGCATGGAACAGGTACAGATAGTACACCCATACTGGTGGACAGGAAGGACCGTTCGCCAAAAGGTAAGTATAGTGGGAGGGAGATTTGTGCGGGTAATTCCATTTTCCCAAATTACTTGGGAAAGTGAATTTACCCTTTAGGGTTGGTGCAGACTTGGGGATTTCCGGGACGTGTGATCGTGTGCGGTTGGCATACAGCGGTTGCATCTGCATGTAAGGGGTTACATCTGTGTGGCAATCGCTGAAAAAAGGTAGATGTACCTATTTTCACGACATGCACCGCGCAGTGTTTTCAACCGTGATCGCATGGGATCGCCCGGGCGTTATTGCAGCAGGAAAATGCGCAATGTGCCTGGCACGACTGGGGTGCCATCCCCTGTATCCAAAACTGTAAAATTGAGTTTTGGCCATAGTTGAGCCTTAATTGGGAACACATTTATTTTCATTTTTCTCTAAGGGCATTTTCTTGAGTGACTTAACTTACAAATCAACAGTGTAGTTTAGGCAATGGAGATTTTAATAGTAGACTGGGGCTTGTCCACCACTGCCTTACGTGCCTTTCTCGCTGCAGTAAACTGCATTTGTTCCCCAACACCCCTAGACACTAGGTTGCTTAGACAGTTGTAGCACCTAGAAATATATATAATGACCTGTTCTGTGCCAAACGTTCTTTTATGTACAAAGCATAACATTTGCAGTAAAAAAAATCCACCATGTAACCTGTTTTAAGTTGTGTGATTTTTATTTTTTTTATTTAATCCTAGGCCTTGTTGGTTCTACATCAGTCAGACAGCATTGAACTTTGGAATCCAGATGCACCAGTAGAGACATTTTGGGAAATTTGGTGGGTAAAGGATATACAAATTCTTAATGTATAATGTGCAGACATGGCTGGGCTGCTTTCCAGACACCAGGATCACTTTTACTCCACAAATAAAAGCCAGTAGATTAATTTTACATTTTTTGTTTGCTATGATGTGTAGCATGCATCCTTGGCAGTCAGAGTTAATAATCGATACATCTAAAGCTGTTTTTATCTGGCAAACTGGTTGATTTTTTTACATAGTGTTCGGCCCAGAATATAAATTTTGATGTATATGCAATTTTTGTTGCAAAATGTAAAAAAGCGGGGAAAATCCCAGAAGTATTGTGCCACAAGTTCGTTGGTTCGGCCCAGAATGAATAGAAGTGTGTAAAAGTATCATTATTTTTTTTTTGTCTTTTTTTTTTTTATTGCTCTCATTTAATTGCATTTTTAGACATTGAGGATTGTGTGTGTTTTTTTCCCCCCCACAGTTCGCAGATGATTTTTTATATCTGTAAAAAGTTGATTGGTCATTCGATGCTCAACAGCACAGAAGTCCTTAAATGGCTGCGAGAAATTTTAATCTGCAGGAATAAATTTCTCCTTAAAAATAAGGTATCAGCAGAACTATGATGTATGAAGTTAGTTGATTTGCAACATGCTTGATATTCATTTTGTAATAGTGTTACACTCACTTTGCAGTATTTTGGATTTACCAACTAAGTAGTGTAAGAGCCTACCTGATATGATTCAGATGGCAAGGATTATTAAAGGAGGCTGTTTCACTAAATAGTTGGTGGTAATTCTGAAGCAGATTGTACAGTTGTATTTATGGTTAAAAAAAAAATTAAAATCTAAAAGCAAATTTAACAGAATGGCTTAAAGATCAGAAAAATTAGCTCAGAGCTAAGCCCAGTGGAGATGTTGTGTCATAAAAAGGAGAGCTGTTCTTGCAAGGATTTCTAGAAATATCAATGTTATGGAAGTGCTTTGTAAGAAGGTACAGTCTAAAATAACATACTTTTTGAAACCCGGATTGTGAAAAGTACAAATGGTGTTTTGATAAAGTCATGTAGGACAATAGTTGTTTGTGTTATTAGTTTATGCAAATTGCATTTGTCTGTCCTTGTGACTTGACTGATATTTCCAAGTGGTCTACATGTTGTTTTTTTTTTTTTCTTGCAACCATAAGAATAAAAAAAAATGACAATTGTTAGTCTCTTCTGGAGACTGAAGGTAGACTGTGAAATATGTAGCAAGCATGGGCTCTGTATCAGGCTCTCTCCATGCAGTTAAACTTCACGAATTAGAGACAAACCCCATTCCTGTGTAAAACACCACTCACCATCACTATCCAAAGATAGCGCTGTTAGAACTGTTAGGCCTGGTTCACACCTAGGCAATTGCATTTTTGAGCTGTTTTCATGTGGGTTTTTTTGTGTGTCCCGTGTGTAAATCGCCCAGTTCCCTCTGCATAGAGGTGTCTATGGGACCAAAACCGTGCGGTAACCGCCCGAAAATAGCTCCTTCACATTTTTTTGCGCAACAGTTGATTTCGCCCACGCGACGCAACGCAAGTGAACAGCCTCCATTGACTTGAATGTGAATCGGTATTTTGCGCAACAAATCGCCCTAAGTGTGAACCAGGCCTCATTGAGTGGAGGAATGATTCATAGGCAGGTTTTGGTGTTTAGGTGGAAGTCTATGTATGCATAAGTTTACATGCCACCATTCTGACAATGCTGGGCCTAGTGATAGGTAGAACCTTCTTTTCCCAAATCTGAAAATTGTACTATTGGGAAATCCAGAGGCCCTATTGATATGTACTGTAATTCTGTACCTTATGTGGCAGACATTTTAAGTGCATTTCCTCAATACGACTCTTTACCTGGTATTTGTGACCAAGGTCTAATCATTATGACATGGCTTAGTATTACCCTTCAAAATATCCCAAAATCTTCAGAGTATTGAAGGACCCCTTGTAAATGACTTGCATAGGCTGACATTGACTTTCCTTTGAAAATACTAGCTTTCTTGCTTCAACAATTTCTTAGTCGCTGACTTGGAACAAGCACACATAAGAGGGAATCAGAACTCCTGATCTATGTACTTTTTATTTGGGCAGTGACTAGGGAAGGACTGAAGTCAGCTTGACCAACAAGCAACTAGCATTTTTTTATCATAGAGAAATATGTGGACTGTCATGCTGACTTCTGAAAATTCTAGTTGCCTGGATTTGTTTCTAACAAAGCTTATATAGTGCTTTTAAAGTCACATTATTTGTATTATCTGGAAAAAAAACTGTTCTGGGTCATGGACTAAGAGTATGAGTGCATTTTAGAAGATAATGTCAGCTATGGTAGTCTTTTATATTTCATGGCAAGTTGATTTTAGGAGCAGGTTTGCCCTTTGTCCAAAAATCTTTATTGTAAAGGATACTGTATACCCCCCTGAGCTTGTGTCTGTACACCATGTAGATAATACTGGTTCTTTCTTATAGGAGTGTGCTGCTGTCGGAAGTGCAATTCCAATATGTCGTCAAGCCCAGACTAAATTAGAAGTTTGTCTGTACATGTTTCTCTGGAGCTCAGACATTGAAGCAGTTCTAGTGGCCATGTCCTGTTTTCGAAACCTGTGTGAGGAGGCAGATATACGTTGTGGGGTTGATGAAGTATCTGTTCATAATTTCTTGCCAAATTATAACACTTTCTTGGAGTTTGCATCTGTAAGCAACATGATGTCCCTGGGTAAGCATATATTGCACCGTAGTTCGTTATACTCTGTAGTTAATATCTGCTCAGGGTTTTTGTACGGCGATTTTGTTTGCAATACGTTTCAAAAACAGCTACTTTGTCTTACCGTGTCACTAGGTTCAGACTGACTAATTTTAAAAAGCTTAGTTTCTGGCTGATGATGGATAAGCATACTTCCATCCGTTGGTTGGAATTCTCATGCCATCCACTGGACCTTTACTTGAGGCCCTTTTGAATTGATTTAGCCTTTACAGTTAGCATGGTAATAAAGGAGAACTGGATTTTCACTCAACCTCATAGTTCGAGCCGACGTGTGGCAATGAAACTGTCACACGTTAGCTTAATAGATCGGGAAGTGAGCGAACACATACCGTCGCTCGCTCACTTCTCGATCCTGTCCCTGCAGAGAGCCGTGACTGTCACTCACGGCTCCCTGCAGGGATTCCCCCCTCCCCGCTCCGATCCTCCAGCGCTGACTGGAGGAACGAACGGGGATGGGTACAGCTGGCTCTGCCTCTAGATGGGCAGAGCCAGCTGTCAATCAGTCAGCTAGGTGGATCTCGACCATAATGTTGGAATCTGTCCCGGCTGCGGCCTTCTCAGTATTCCGCGAGCTGTATACTGAGCTTTGGGTCACAGGAGGACGCTAGTTTATGTCGTCCCATGACCCTGAGGAGAACTATGGGGAAAAACACTTACCCCATAGTTCTCCTTTTAAGGTTCTTTCTGCATTGTTATGTTAGACGAACATTGGTTTTAAAGTATCCAGTGGGGTTTTTTTTAGAGTGTTTTCCTGGTTGACTTTGCTACATTATGTACACTTTAGGTAGAGCAGCTCTACAGAAGCGTGTCATGGCCTTACTAAGAAGAATAGAACATCCCACTCCTGGGAACACAGAAGTGAGTCTGTCTTCATTTTTATTTATTTTTAATAGAAAGTGTTCTATGTATATACTTATATTCTCTTGCTGTTCCCAGGCTTGGGAAGATACATATGCGAAGTGGGAACAAGCAACAAAGTTGATTCTGAACTTCCCAAAGACTAAGCTGGAAGATGGCCAGGTAACGAAAACATTTTAAGTCCAATTCTAGCCAAAACCTTTACATTACTTTTGAACAGAAATGGGAAAAGGTCTTGTTTCTAGTTGGTGAACCCGTTAAGATTTCCCTTCGCATTCTGTCCCTGAGACACTGGTACAAAAAGTTGGAGGGAGAACAAGTGTTACAACTGTAGAACACTGACAGCAGTAAGCAGTGGTGGAGGTTTAACCCATTCCCCTTTGTACTAGAACAAGTGTTTGTCTTTCTGTCTTTGCGTTCTGTCCCTCTGATATCCTGTCGACAGTTGCACAAAAACAAATGTACGTTTTTAATTTTGTTAATGAAATGTACTGTTTTTTAGACAAACTGAAGAAGTAATGTATACCTTGCTCATTGTCATCCTGTCAGAGTTCGATACTGTAGAGTGATGCTTATATTGTTCCTGCTTTGTTTTTTGAGAGCATAATAAAAAAAAAATTGATCACCATGGATCTTGTCTCTAAACTAACTTATGATTCTTTTGTTCACGCGAAGATTTTTGCTGTGTAAAAATACTGCTTATAGTAACTAAGCTTGAATGTTTTTGGCAGGTTACAGAAAGCCTTCATAAGACCATTGTGAAGAGGCGAATGTCTCATGTAAGCGGAGGTGGTTCTATAGACCTGACTGATACAGATTCGCTACAGGAGTGGATTAACATGACCGGTTTCCTTTCTGCCCTTGGTGGTGTCTGCCTGCAACATCGCAGCAATGTGGGGCTAGTTACTTACAGTCCACCTATGGGTCCTGTTAACGAGCGCAAGGGTTCTGTTATCTCAATGGTTTCTACTGAAGGCAATGCAGAAACTCCTGTCAGCAAATTTCTTGATCGGCTTCTCTCATTGATGGTCTGCAACAATGAGAAAGTTGGAATTCAAATTCGGACAAACATCAAAGATCTGGTTGGTTTAGAGCTGAGCCCTGCTTTGTATCCAATGCTTTTCAACAAAATGAAGAACAACATAAGCAAGTTCTTTGACTCCCAAGGGCAGGTAAGTAAAATTCATCTTTTATGAAGAACTAATGTGTTGAACATGTGTTCTCGTAGATTTTGTATTGAAGTTTGGCGGTGTAATCCAAAAGGCAAAAGTTCATCTGTCTGCAGCCTGCTTATGCATCAACTTTTTCTGGTTCTCTTGGGTTTCATTAGTAAAACTATTATTACAGTGAGTCCTGTTCTTTGCATTACAGGTTTTGCTCAATGACACAAACACCCAGTTTGTTGAACAGACGATAACCATCCTGAAGAACTTGCTTGATAATCACACAGAAGGCAGCTCTGAACATTTGGGGCAAGCTAGTTTAGAGACCATGATGCTAAATCTAGTCAGGTAACTGTATAATTTGACAATGCTACAAACTTAAAACAAAAATCCATCAAAGGGTTAACCAAAACAAAAATCCATCAAAGGGTTAACCAAAAATTATGTTTTCACATTCCCACAAGTTCTTGTCTTTGATCCTACGATCTGCAGTATACTCTTGTCCTGATCCTACAGTCTGCAGCACATTCCAGTCCTCATCCCACAGTCTGCAGCACATTCCAGTCCTCATCCCACAGTCTGCAGCACATTCCTGTCCTCATCCCACAGTCTGCAGCACGTTCCTGTCCTCATCCCACAGTCTGCAGCACGTTCCTGTCCTCATCCCACAGTCTGCAGCACGTTCCTGTCCTCATCCCACAGTCTGCAGCACGTTCCTGTCCTCATCCTACAGTCTGCAGCACGTTCCTGTCCTCATCCTACAGTCTGCAGCACGTTCCTGTCCTCATCCTACAGTCTGCAGCACGTTCCTGTCCTCATCCTACAGTCTGCAGCACGTTCCTGTCCTCATCCTACAGTCTGCAGCACGTTCCTGTCCTCATCCTACAGTCTGCAGCACGTTCCTGTCCTCATCCTACAGTCTGCAGCACGTTCCTGTCCTCATCCTACAGTCTGCAGCACGTTCCTGTCCTCATCCTACAGTCTGCAGCACGTTCCTGTCCTCATCCCACAGTCTGCAGCACGTTCCTGTCCTCATCCCACAGTCTGCAGCACGTTCCTGTCCTCATCCCACAGTCTGCAGCACGTTCCTGTCCTCATCCCACAGTCTGCAGCACATTCCTGTCCTCATCCTACAGTCTGCAGCATTTTTTTGCAGCTTTGTTGTCTTCTTGCTTTTCACTGCTGCCTCCTGCTCTGCAATCTCTCACAGCGTCATTGTTTTCTGCATGAATTTCTGTGGTTCTTAGTTTGGGCATGTGGCAGAGCATGATATAGGTCCCAGGACCAGACTTTGACTTTGAAGCAGCAGCTTAGAAGCTCGGAGGAACTGAGGTGAGCCACGATACGGAGCTCTAACTCTAAAAACTCCAATCAGGGGACATACAAAAATCATTTATATTGAAAATTTGTTTCTGTTGGGTCTCTGATCTAAGTTGTAACGTTAAATCCTAGTATTGTGCCTTCCAGTAGGAGTCAATGTTGCATGCTAAGCTAAAAGGTTGCAAGGTATACAGCTTAGCTTGCGAAGTATGGTATTCAAAACAGTACTCCATGCATGGCATATGTTCATCTTGCCACTGGATTTTTACTCCTAAATGATGGAAATAATCTAATAATCCTATTTCATATACATTTCCCCCTCCCACCCTTATACTACACAACCTTGTTGGATGCCACCGAGTGCAGATTATAGGGTTTTCAGAAGTTTTTTTCTTAAAGTGTAACTCCAGGCAAAAATCATAATCCTCGGTTCATTTTTTGTTGTCCCACATAAATAGCCCACCCTGCTGTTGTAGCGGGTTGTAATCCTCATTTGAACATTTTCACATCTTTTTTGCCGCTTAGACTTTGTTAGTGGTACTCTCCCATCTGATAGGTCTTCATGAGGGGAAAAATGGCTACTGAAGTTTTGGTTCCTTAGACACCTGTACTTCCACAGCCTGGTGATTGGGAAAGGATAGAACAGCATGTTGATTAGGTCATCTATGTGCTCTCCCTTCCTTCAGGGCAAGTTCAGAAATTGCCTGACAGCACTATGCAAAACAAAAGGTGTTGATTGGCCTCACTGGTGGGCCTTAGGGTTTAAGTTCTTATACCATTGGTGTGTAAAACTGTTTTATATAAATGTAACTCAAAGTTTTTGTTTTGCCTGCACTTTTGTTCTCATTGATATTTGAATATATCGGTTGTGACTTTTGTGAATAGATCATCTTTTCATTTCTCAATTTTCACAGATATGTACGTGTTCTGGGTAACTTGGTGCATGCCATACAGATCAAAACCAAGCTGTGTCAACTGGTGGAAGTGATGATGGAACGAAGGGACGACCTTTCTTTTTGTCAGGAAATGAAGTTTAGGTGAGATTCTTTAACACTTGAAAAACACGAATAATAAAAACATTACAAATATGTAAAGGTTAAGTGCAGGAGTCCTGTCCTGATGGATCCTGTCTGCGTCAGAGCACAGACACCCGCACGGATGTGCAGATCGGGCGAGCGTACGGTCATGTACTCCCATAGAGAACAGGCTGCTGCGTGCACTCACACACAGCACCTGTCCTTCCCGGTAGCGGCCTGATATGGACGTGCACGCCGCACGGATCAGTATGGGCCGGCTCTTAGTAGTGTGAATGAGGCCTAAAACTTCCTTCCTACCTAAGAGGGTCTCAGTCTTTCACCTCTATCACGAAACTTCATTATACCGCACCTCTGTCCATCTCCAGTTCATCCGAACTACTACTCCCTTTATTGCCTGGATGTAGTTCAGGCTGTGAGTTTCTCACAACCACTTCTTCCTTCAGAGAGCCTGACTGTCTTTGTTATTACTGATGGTTCCTTTAAAGGTGAACTGGCTTCATGTTCCACCATTTTTTGGTGGCTCAGACAGATCATCATTCAAACTTATGGTGTTAAGGATTGGGTGCCACCCTATGCTGTCAAGCCACACCACTGGATTTGTAAATGCCTCTTGGGCTCTTTGGCATCAGGCTACTGTTTTGCAGATATGCAAGGCTGCCATCTGGTCTTCACTTCCCATTAGGGATGTCCCGATACCGATGCTAGTACCGGTATCGGGGCCGATACAGGGCATTTTCAGGAGTACTTGTACTCCTGAAAATGCCCCGATGCCTAGATCAGATACCGGCCGTTTAAATTTTTTTTCAACTATCTTCGGCCATTGACCCCTGTAGCCCCTCCCCCGGAATACCTCTCCACCAAACGAGGCTCCCTCTCTGCTCTGACCTCTCCGGAAGTGTGACAGCATGGCGGGGGTAAGTGTTGTGTGGACAGTCTCTTCTCCCTGCTGGTCCTGGCTGCAGAGCTCTGTGTCCCTTTCACAGACCTCTGTAGCCAGCACGAGAAGGCAGAAGAGACTACAGCTGTGATCCCCCACTGCCCCCCTCCCCCCTGTATCTTAGCTGCTGCTGCTCCTCCATGTCCTGTCCTTTTCAACTTTATGAATCGGTTTCCTTTTGGTGATATACCTCAGTGTCAGATGCCCATGCTCCTTGCTGCGTTGGTATCGGCAAGTACATGAGGGACAGTACTTGTACTTGGTCTTGAAAAAGTGGTATCGGGACATCCCTAGTTCCCATGTTGTCACGTTTTATCAGGTAGATGTTTAGGCCTCATCTGATGCCAGCTTTAGACATAAGGTTCTTAAGATTACTTTTTGTACTGCAGGCATTAGCATTTTGTTTGCCGTTTCCCACCTCTCGGTTAGATTGCTTTTGGATGTCCCGGCATTACAATAGTGTCCGTCAATGAATGAGAGAAAAAAAAAATGGTAGTTTTTGTACTCGTCATAAAAATCCTTTTCTCTGAGTCTGTTGTGGAGCACAGGTCTCACCCCTCTTTGTTTATGAACTGCTTTGCAACAAAAAAGATGCATGCTGAAAGTAGCAAGTGTTATCCTGGGCTGGCCCACAATTTTGTTTTGTTTTGTTTGCCAGTGTCCAGTCCTTCTGTAGGAAACAAAATAACCCAACAGTGTCTAAATTCCTGTGTCACTCAATGGACTCCAATAGATTTTACTGTCAGTACAAGAATCCTATTTTTTATTCCTATGAGACCATAACAAAATGTGTTGTAGTGTTTTTTTAAAAACAGATTTGATGCTTTTAAATCACTGATTTTTAATTTCTGCTGATTTTAAATGGATCTTCATTTGAAGATATTTTTCAAAGAGTTTGTGGGCATTTAAATATTTTACATATTCTTGACAAACAGTACATAAGCTTTAAGTAGTAAACGCCGGACCAAGATAAGAGTCTGGGAACCATTAAAGCAAGTCCGCAAGGCAGCTCCTTTTTTCTGTCTTCACAGGTTTCTTAAAAGTTTTTATTTATTGTGGGCATTAAAACCAATCGATCTTTGAGTTTAATTCATGTTTTGTAGTTGATTCTACTTTCAGGTCAACTTGTATTTGTGAACTGGAAAGAGAAAAACAAAATCTAAAATTGCTGTAGTGTATGCACTACACCAGTGGTGGTCAACATGGAAATAAGAGGACGTCCAGTGCAGCGCCCGACACTTCGAGATGCCGCCACAATAGCAGCACAATTTTGGCCACTGTGATTTATTATATTGTTAGGCAATAGGCTGTAATGCACCTCAAGGGCCCAAAATTTTGCTCCTGCATTTTTTGCAGTGTACCGCAACACACAAAATATATTAACAATAACGCATGCTGAGCAGAAAGGTGGTGTAAAAGAAGCTCCATGTGTCAGTAGCCACAGTTAAATCTCTTGGCATTGGTGTCAGTGGCTGCAGTAATGACCCTTGGCATTGGTGTTAGTGGCCATAATGATAACCCCTGGCATTGGTGTCTACTATTTACCCCTCCCAATTGCACTGAGGCTCAAGTTGCAGTGCTATTTAAACTCCCCTCCACCCACCCCAGTTGGTGGTCAGTGGCAGTTTTGCGCACCAGGGCACTACAGTATTGATGACACAGCTGATTTACGTGATTTTTTTTTTTTTTTCCTTTAAATTGCTTTTGTTTATAAAAAGCCTTGTGGTAGTTGACCTTTTGCCATTTATTTTTAGGAACAAGATGGTGGAATACTTGACTGACTGGGTAATGGGAACATCTAACCAAGCTGCAGATGAGGATGTAAAATGCCTCACAAGGTATTCAATCCTACTGTTGTTCCAATGCAAAGTAGAGTCTTTGTCTATAAATATCAGGTAATGTGATATTTTTCCTCCGTTTTTCTGCAGAGATTTGGATCAAGCAAGCATGGAAGCAGTTGTATCTCTTCTTGCTGGCCTACCTCTTCAACCCGAAGAAGGAGATGGTGTTGAGTTAATGGAAGCTAAATCACAATTATTTCTCAAGTAGGTGCATGCTCCAGTTTTATTATTTGCAATATTTATAATAGCACAAGCATATTCTGAAGCATTTTACAGCTTATATAGAAACATTTGCATAAGTTTAAAGAGCACCAGTGTTGGGAGAAAGAAAAAGCTTTGCTGACATGTAGCCTGCAAAGGTTTCTTCCTTAGTCTTAGATTCAAATTACTTGCTGACTCAACAGCTTCAATACTTTCTATGCTTCATTTAGAACACGGTTAAAGCAAGCAAGATTAGAAATCCTTAACTGCTTTGTTGTTCGGTTTATGTAACTATAATACATTTATTGTAACCCTTGGACCAACCTGCAGGTCAACTAGGATTTTTAGTAAGAAAAGTTAGCAGTGACCATCTATGTACAGTGGCTATAGAAAAGACAACAATATCACAAATTCTCCACAAATGTGGCTTGTACTGGGAGTGTTGCAAGAAAAAAGCCTCTCCTCAAGAAAGGTCACATGCGGTCACGACTGAGCTTTGCAAAATGATATGTCTGGCGGAAGTCCAATACAGCTCACCATCCAAATAACACCATTCCTATAGTAAAGCAAGCAGGTGGCGATATCCTGTTATAGGGGTGTTTCTCTGCATCAGGGACTGCTACTTGTCAGGATGGAAGGAAAAATGGATGGGGCACATTACTGTCAATTTCTTGAGGAAAATCTGCTGCCACCTGCCAGGAAAATGTCAATAGGAAGAAGGTTTACCTTCCAACATGACTGACCCGAAGCACACAGCAAAAATGACCATACAGTGGTTGATGGAGAAAAAGGTGAATGTCCTTGCGTGGCCTTTTCAGAGCCCAGACTTAAACCCTATTCTAAATCTGTGGAATTCACCCCACTCTGGATAAAACCAAAAAGGCACACAGCCCGGGCCAAGATAGGAGCATGCCCTTCGATAATTCCGCCTTCCTAACCCTAATGAATGACCACCACCTAGTGGATGTGTGGAGAGAATTGAACCCGACGGTTAAAGATTATACATATTACTCCAACCCACACCAAGTTTTCTGTAGAATTGACCATGTTCTCACCCCCCAACGATGCCTAAGTCACTTTATATCGTCTAAGATTAAAGCAGTCCCATGGTCAGACCATGCTCCAAATGTGGTACAGTTCCGCCCAGAGGGAGGAGCTCAGGGTAGGGGGCAATGGAGAATTAACGAATCATTGTTGTCCACTGTGGACAACATTTCTCTTATTGAACTATACGCTAAACAATACTTTGAGCTGAATGAGGGGTCCGTCCGGCCTTCAGTAGTTCTTTGGGAGGCCCATAAGGTCACAATGCGGGGGCAGCTCATTGAACTAGCCTCCCGCCCCTAAAAAGAGAGAGGGAGGAAGGTAGCCGCACTACAGCATGAGTTGGAAGCACTTGACCGAGCACTAAAGGATAAATTCAACCGTGGGCTCCTGACGCGCCTGAATTTGGTAAAGCTGGAACTGAACCTCCTGCTGGATCAGGGCGCAGAAAGGGCCTTAAGGTGGACCAAACACAGATTTTACTCACGGGCAAACAAACCTGGCACATTATTAGCTAGAAAACTAAACACATTGCCTGATAGCCCGGCCCCTATTAGATTGAACACCCCTGGTGGCACAATCTTGGCAAACCCTGAAAAGATTTTAGCATCCTTCCAAGAGAACCTTACCTCTCTCATATACTAAATCTAGCACTTTTAGCGCAGAAAAGGCAGACGACATCTTACTGGATGTTGCACTCCCGCAGATCGCACGGGATGACTTGGACCACCTCAACTCAGATGTGACTACTGAAGAAATACTTCTGGCTATTAAACACCTCAAACCATCTAAAGCCCCTGATGGCTTCTCGGCCCTCTACTATAAAAAATTGGCTCCCCTCCTGGCACCTAAACTGACCGCAATGTACAACTCCCTCAGACAGGGCCGAACACTACATTCCTCCTCACTCCTAGCCTATGTATCAATGATTCCCAAACCTGACAAAGACTCACTGAACCCCAATAACTATAGGCCCATAACTTTGCTGAACATTGACATCAAAATCCTAACTAAAATCTTAGCCACACGTCTTAATCTCATCCTCCCCAGTATCGTCCATAGGGATCAAGTGGGCTTTATCCCTGGTAGGCAGGCAGGGGATAATATCCGCAAAAATAATCCACCTAATCCACACCCACAAGTCTCGTAATATTCTGGGATTCCCATTATCGCTAGATTTACAGAGGGCATTTGATTCCATCTCCTGGGAATACCTACACTATATCCTTCATAAATGGGGATTTGGAGACTCCTTTTTAGTGTGGTTATGGGTTCTATACTCTTCTCCAATGGCCCAGGTAAAGTACCAGGGGCACCTATCCCAGGAGATCCCTATCCACCGGGGAACCTGCCAAGGCTGCCCACGATCCCCAGCCCTCTTTGCTCTGGCAATTGAACTCCTGGCCATACTCCTTCGATCGAGCCCCAACATCAAAGGAATTGAACTGGCAGCAGTGGAATATAAGGCCAGCTTGTTCGCAGATGACGTTATGCTTACCCTGACACAGCCACACACCACAGTTCCTAACCTGCTTAACCTTCTACAGCAGTTCTCCACAAGTCCGCTGCTTTGAATGTAACTCTACCTGCCCCGATGTATGAGCATGTTCGCCCCAATTTTTCGTTCGCCTGGGCTAAGTCCTACATGTACCTGTGTATTAAAATTACGGCCTCTTATGATACCTTGTATTCCGCGAATTATATCCCACTATTCAAAACGTTGAAACAATTACCTCATGGTCGACCCATAATCTGTCGTGGCTGGGTAAAATATCAGCGGTTAAGATAGCGCTCGTGCTCAAACTCCTATATCACTTCAGAACCTTGCTGGTACAAATTCCCCCTTATGCTATGCGCTCGTTGCAGCGGAGTATCATCCAGTTTATCTGGCATCCCCTCAGGGCTAGGGTGGCGAACTACTCTATACAAACATAAAATTGAGGGAGGAGTGGGCCTCCCCAATGTATTGCTGTACTATCAAGCCGCTCAACTCATACCACTGATAACTATGCACCAGCGTCATTCACCCCCTCTCTGGCTTATGTTGGAAATCCCAAACTGCTCCCCAATGCCTCTTACGGCTTTGCCCTGGATACCAGCCTGTGATAGACCTAGGACCCTAAGCCCTCTCATGATGCATACACTAAAGGTGTGGGACTCGATTAAATATTCAGCACACCTGCTTTCACCATACCTTCCATTGCTTCCCTTGTTCGCCCAACCACTTTTCAGGCCGGGCTTGGACAACCCCACTGCCTTTAGTTGGTGGACAAACAACGGAATTCGGGTAGTGCATGACTTACTGCGCTCCTCAGCCATTCCTTCCTGGCAATACTTGCGGGAACACAATCAAATACCGGGGGCTGAACATTTTAGATATCCCCAACTCCACCATTGGATGTCCTCTGAGGAGGGACCCCACTAATTTACTTGTTTCGAACATATGTGTCTTCACTCCCCGGAAGGCCCAGGCCTTATCACAATTCTTTACTCACAATTGAATAGACTGGTCAGCCACACTTCCCACACCTATGTCCGCAGCTGGGAAGGGGACCTACACCGACAGTGGTCCATGCAGGAATGGCAACGGATATGGTGCAATATCGCAAGATGCTCCATCCGCGTTACAAATGCTGAGGTAGCCTACAAGGTAATGATGAGGTGGTATCTGGTCCCAGCAAGGGTGTAGCGCCTGTTCCCCACATCCTCGGGTACCTGTTTCCGAGGGTGTGGAGAAATGAGGATATGCTACACACCTGGTGGCGCTGCCCCCTGGCTACTCGGTTTTGGGTCAGGATATTTAAACTAATTGGCTCCCTATTCTCTACACATATTCCAATAAATTTTCAATATGCCCTGTTCCATATGTCTATATCAGGATTGAGTAAGCCTCAAAAGGCTCTGGCGCACTTTATCTTTTTGGCGGCCAAACTGACGCTGGCTGGAAACTGGAAGAAACAACAAATTCCCTATGTGGAATTTACGCACAGGTTGGATCATATTATGCTTAATGAGCGACTATCTAGTATCTTGGAAGATAAACACTCCAGGTTTCTAAGTGTGTGGGAACCATGGCTCTCATCCCGTCATCCAGGGATAGATCCAACGAGCTACCGAGGTATATGAGGTGGGATGGATAACTGCTGGATAGCTGTACGAGACATGGGGAGTGGCAGTTATGGATACTCCGTAGGATGTTTGGCGTGAGCGAATTATGGGACCCCCCCCCCAACCCCTAGTAGTACGGGTAACCGGGCACTACTACCCCCTTAACACCCTTTTACCCCTTCTCTGCCTCTTTATGTTTCTTGGGGCCTTTACCCCACCCTATGTTCACGGTCGATAATTGGCTCAATGCCAAGGAGCACGGAACTGGCGTCTATGCAAATGCCATATTGTCGACTTATTGTGATTAGCGCTTAAGACAGCATGGTCTCCCTGTTCCTTGAGTGCGCATATATATATTGTGTAGTCCCAGTTCCTGGGATTTCATGATTGTAATGAAGACCCAATGTGATGATGCACTGTGAACCAATATCTTTATAATGTTTTGATATTTGGAAAAAGTTCAATAAAAATATTGACACAGAAAATCTGTGGAATGACTTGAAGACTGGAGTCCACAAATGGACCCCATCAAATGTAACTGAACTTGTACTGCAAAGATGAGTGGGCAAATATTGCAAAGTCTAGATGTGCAAAGTTAGTAGAGACATATCCCAACAGACTAAAGGCTGTAATTAAAGCAAAAGGTGGGTCAACAAAATACTGACACATGGTGGTGATCTTTTTTCCAGCTCAGTGATTCTGTTTTTTAATTCGCTTTATTTTTTTCTGACATATTGGTGTTATATCATTCACTTGGCTGTTATAAGTTGCACTGAGTAAATACAGCTGGATAAAACAAAAATTGTCTTCATTTCAGGCTGCAAAGCAACAAAATGTGATAATTTTAATGG